TTATTATTTTATTATTATTTATTTTATTTATTAAATAAACATTTTTATATTATATAATTTATATTATTATACATTTTAAATATAAATTTATATTACATTTCCACATATTTTTTGTTATAAATGATAATTTGTCTTGCTCACACTCACGTTATTGCCTCAAGATTAATAATTTGTTGTATTCCACATTTTTAAGTCGCTAAATGTATAAATGTAAATCTTTTATAGTTTTATTTAATCTATTTTTATATTTATATATTGACCTTTTATTATATATTTAATACTATGAACGTAGAATATAATATTTATGTTTTATTTAACTTCTATTATACAATTTTAGTTTTACATTTTATAGTTTTTTAAGATTTATTTTTTTATATATTAATTGTATTTATTATTGTTATATAGTAGTGATTTATATGATTATACATTATTAATTAGTTTACATTTTATATTATGGTTTGAATAAAATTCTATGTTAAATGAATAAATCTATATCATGACCTTAGAATTTAATATTTATGTTTTATATATTTTATATTTTCTTGTATTATTATTCATTTTAGTTTTATTTTGTAATGGTATTTTTTTGTATTTCACTTTTTGCTTATTTTATGATTATTTTTATTATAATGTGTCATTTTGCATTGTAATTCTAATGTTATATAGAAATAATTTATATTACATATTTTTTAAATAATTGTACATTTTATGTATCAAGTTTTCTTGCTAAAGAAAATTTTCAATAATAGCTGGAACTTATAACTAGAAGTTCCAAGAAATGTACATTCATAAATACTTTTTCTGGTATATCGAAACAAACATTGAATTGTTTGTAATTTTCAGCTTTATTGTTGAGCCCTGCATTATGATCACAGTTTTTATCATCTGATCCGCAATGCAGTTTAGTCAAGAACCGCCCACTTAGACAGGAAGAGTGTGACTGACATGAGAAGCGACCAATCACAGCTTGTTCTGTGTTCAGGTGCCCTTTTGAAGCATGTTTATCTGAATTCATGTAATTGAGCTGAAGACTCTGAAGGAAGAGGTTTGTTATCTGCCAATCGCATTACTGCCTTTCATTTGCCACGGCCGAGGATCTTCGTGTGGCTCTTTATTGTTTTTATTTGGCCGTGTCCCGCTCACAGTAATGTGTTCAGCAGATGTAGGGAAGAAAATGGGGATTTCATGCATCTTCAGATTGATATACTGTCTTCTCTCCTGTCTCTTCTTTCTGACTCAAGACGCTCGAGTGTCAGCCGTCTGTGTAAATCACCACCTCGTGTGTCAAATATTATACGAAACGCATATTTCAGGCTCTGAAATCTGATTGGATGAGGCTCTTTTGAAGTCTAAATCACACTTCAGCTCACTTCTGTATTAATTGATAGATTTATTTTCCATTGTTTCATTGTTTGAAACTGTCATTGGCTTAGATAGGGATGTAGACAATGTTCTTATTGAGGGAATAATGTTGTTCGTTCATTCATTCATTCGCATAAATATATAATTAAATAAATAATATCAGTTAATTAAATAATACAGATTAAATAAATAATAATGATCAAAAAATAATAATACTGAATAATGAATAACTGAATAATAATAAAAAAAATCTAATAAATAAGTAATAATTCATTATCAGATAGATAGATAGGTAGAGTAAATAAATTATATAAAAAATAAATAATTATTATTTTCTGATAACTAAATAAATAACAATTACCTGTTAAATAAATCTACAGTTTTTAGTTATTGTGATTTGTAATATTTTTAAATAATGATCAAATAAAAAAATTAAATAAATAAATAATAAATTGATGTCTCATAGATAGATAGAGATAGACAGACAAACAGACAGATAGACAAATTTGAATTGAATTGAATTGAATAGACAGACAGATAGATAGACAGACAGACAGACAGACAGATAGATAGATAGATAGATAGATAGATAGATAGATAGACAGACAGAGAGATAGATAGACAGACAGACAGACAGACAGACAGACTGACAGATAGATAGATAGATAGATAGATAGATAGATTGCTCACGCAATTAATGAAAATTCCATGAATTTTTCCTCTGGAATAAACTTGGACTCTCTTGTTTTTCTCAGCCGCTCTTAAATTGCATTTTCTCCACTTTTCTTCACTTTTAATTACTGTTTGCATCATTTACTGCGGGAATGTTTCTACAGCAGAGAAATGCAGCACACCAGACACATCTGCTGGGAAAACGATGGCGAGCGTCTTGAATTGTCTGTTAATGTTTTTAAAATTTGGAAGATGATGAGATTTTTTGGCTCCTCTTTCAGTCTGTGCAGGACATCTGTGTGTCACAAATTTTTATCTGATGATTAGTACTATGTTTTTATTTCATATTTAATTTAATTTACAATATTTATATTATTGTATTTTATTTAAAATAAAACCAAAAAATATATATTTTTATTTACAATTTTTACATTATATTTTATTATATATAATAAGAATAAAATAAAGAAATAAGAATACAATAAAATGTATGTTAGTTAAATTTATCTATTTAAAATAGTAAAAAGTAATGAAACTGTTTTATTTATTTATTTTATTTTATTTTATTTTATTTTGTCTTACCCTGTAAAGCCTGACATATGAAATAATAGTCAGATTTTCTTTTTAAATGGAACATTTTATATTTAGGCAAAAAAATAAAAAAAATATATACACACGCACACACACACACATATATACAGTGGGTACGGAAAGTAAATGTATGGGAAACACTGGTAATGTATATCGAAATATCGGAAATGTGTTTAAAAATCATATCACGGTTATTGAAAAAAATCATATCGCGATACATATTGATATTGAATTATTGTCCAGCCCTAAGTTTACGTATGTGTTGTTTTGCATATGTGTTTTTAGTTTGGAAAGTTGAACTTATTGACATCTGTACTAGTGTGTCACATACATTATTGTATTTTATTTAAATAAAATTATATATATTTTTTATTTTATTTACATTATTAACATTAACAAGAATATAATAAGAATTAAATAATGTAAATATTATAGTTAAAAATCTATCTAGTTAACAACTTTTAGACAAAAAAAACTAAATGCAAAACATGTTTGCATATATGTTTTTTGTTGAGTTTTTAGTTTGGAAAGTTGAACTTGTTGACATCTGTACTAGTGTGTCACAACTGTTTATCTGATGACTAGTACATCATTTCTTTTTATATTATTTTTTTATTTACAATATTTACATTTATTTAATTTAAAATTAAATTAATTTATTTACAATATTTAGATTTTATTTGAACTAAAATCAAATAAACATTTTATTTTTAATTACGATATTTACTTTATTTTTTCTCTTTTGTTTGTTCTTTTATTCAAAGAATAAAATAAAGTAAAATGTTTTTTTTTAATAATATTGTAAAAAATAATATTTTTTGAAATTGAATGTAACATTCTATTTTATGTTGATCTGTTGTGGTCTCGTTCTCAGGACGGTGCGGACGTGGGACTTGAACTCGGAGAAGAAGCAGAAGTCTGTGTTCAAGCCTCGATCGCTGCAGGGCAAGATCGCCGCCGCCTGCCAGGACGGGACCATCCAGATCTGGGACAGGAACCTTGAGCGTAAGTGTGTCTTCATCTTCATCTTTACGCTGCAGCCCTATCCTGGATGAGACTCTGAGACGGGCAATAAAGCGCTGCTGTTCAGTGTCATGCCAGATCGAGCGTGCAGGTCTGGACGTCTGACCGCTCCGAACGCAGGGGGGTCGGAGGTCATTGGAGCCCTGACACTGAGCAGGTCTCCGGCGGTGTGGTGTTTTACAGCGTGGGTGTCCCGACTGTGTCGTCTCAGACGGGACGCTGGTCTGTTGCTGTTTGTTTGGTCAGGACGTCCCGTCGGTGTGTGGTCTGAGAGACGGGCGCAAATGAGGGCTTCGGAGGTTAATAAAGATGCTTGTGCTCATCCCGGTGCAGTATGGGAAGCTGTGTCTGTGTCCACTAGAAAATCACATTATTTAACCCTATAAAGTCTGACATATGAAATAATAGTCAAAAATCAGTTTGCACAACTTTTTTCTTTCCTCAGCATCTGTTCTGATGGGCTAAAACATCAGGAAACAACAATGCTGAATACAAATATTAAAATACAGCTAAAATTCTATGTAATACAGCAATTTATAAAGCTATATATAAGAAACAGAATTATTTAAAATAGAAATATATTATTTTAATTAGAATATGTATGTATATTATTATTATTATTATTAAATAATAGTATTAAACTGTAATTATTTCATCATTTTATTTATGTTTTATTTCCAAAACCCTTATTTTCACTGCACTCTTCCTTATTTGCATATATACATATATATACATACACAAAGATGCTTAAATTACATTACTTAACCCTTAAAGACCTAGAATATTTTTGGGGCACCTGACACGTCTGCACTTTTCTTTGTTTTTTAAGACCTATTCCAGCAGTCAGCATCAAGTGTCATATATCATATAAACAGGAGAACTTGAAGCATCAGTCTAGCTAATTTAAAGTCCCAGTTTTCCTTTTGTTTTCTCTAAGAATGAATGAATTTCCAGAATTTTAAGAAAAACGCAAGCAACAATTTGGTGTTTTTTTTACTGTGTACTCAAACAGAAACTCCTGAAGTTTGGATTTTTTTCTTTAGAAAGTTGTATCTGGGTGTTTTACACTTCCAAATAAAATTTTTGGAAAAAACACGAACTTCTGCGGAGAGTAATGTTCGCGCTGCGCTGTTGTAACTGATCAGCGCCGCGCTGTCAGCTCGGTGGTGCTAGTAAACATGTCCTCTCTGCGCTGTCGAGTCGGTCGCGCAGCTCGGTCCATTGAGCACTTTAATACCACGCTGTTTCGTCCCACTTTTGGGTTGTTTGGCTTCCCATATTTTAAAGCATTCAGATAGGATTAGCGGTTCAAAAGTTATTAAACATTTAAAAACAATAGTTATTTTTAGCCGCGGGCGGCTGTCTCGGTCTTTGAGGGTTAACCCTATAAAGCCTGACATATGAAATAATAGTCAGAAATTTTTTTCTTTGTAATGGAACAGTTTATTGAAGCTTTAGATAAATATATATATAAAGTCACATATGTGTTTTTTTGTTTAGTATCTTATTTGATCCATCAGGCTCATATATTGTAATACAGTGAGAATATGGAGAAAAAAGAGACTCAAACTAAGCAAAAATATTCAATTTTGTGAGATGCTGATATTTATATGGACAAAAGGAGATGAAATTCTGCTGCTTGTGATGTAAATAAATGAGATCTTTATAACAGTAGAGCAGATACTGACATAAAATGATATAAATATCAGTCGTCGCTCTATATCTCCAGTAATAAGATGAGATTGAAATGCTCCAAACATATAATGCAGTGATTGAGAGCTGAAGAAATAAAGGCTCCTCAGAAGATGTGAGATGTTCTGGAGGCTTGTGAAGATCATTCCTCCGCTGAGGAACAGTGAAAGTAAAGCTTCTGGAAACAAACGCTCCTCAAAAGATCCTGAGGATCAGATTTGAGACTCTAAAACATGATTGATGGAGAATCAAGTAAAGCTGAGCTGCTTCAGTCCAGTAAGTGTTCATCTGGAGATATTACTGCAGTTATTCTGACCTTTACTTGATCAAAACCAGTCAAGATTTGACACGAGAAGCTCCAGCTACAGTTACACTACAAGAGCTTTGACTGAGTAAACTCTAAACTATCAATCAGACGACAGAAGCATGGAGGAGATTGAGTGTGAAACAGGTTTAACAGCAAAGTTTTGATCATTTAGAGGCCTATCAGATCTGATACAGTAGCTTTATAGGGTTAATGGTGAGTAGGCAGTTATACGTCTTATTATTGCTTTAGTTAATCAGTAATAAATGAATCAAATCAAAGTGAGCTCATAGGTGCTGTGTGTAGTTTGGCGTGTGAGGAGCGTTCTCCGGTGTTCACATTCAGTGTTTGTGCTGGAAAAAGTGACTTTGTGCTGTTGTTTTTTGGGAAGAGTGAAACGGAGCTGGATTTGACTAATCCTTGTGTCTGAGTGGAAACAGATCTCAGCACAGACTGCGATTACATGCACAACAATAGTTCAGTATTAATCACAGTTTGGTCATATTATGGTAATATTTTATGTATAATAACTGATATTTTATTTTATTTTTATTATTATTTTATTTTATTTTATTATTGTTTTTACCATCCATATAATCAGCTGATAGCTAAACAGCAAATTAAACAGGCTTATCAATTTTTAAAAGGAATAGAAATATTTTCTATTATATTTCTATTATTATTTTATTATAATTTATTTGTATTATTTAATATTGTTTTTCTATTATTAATACAAATTTATATTATTAATAATAATAATAATTTATCTTTAAGGACATTTTTGTTTACTTTTATTTTATTTAATTTAATTTTATTTAATTTTATTTTTACATTTTATTTTATTGCCTTTAAAAGAACAGTCATGAACTAAGAATCTTATGAGCTACATTTTGCAGTTCATTGCACTCTTGTGTGTTATTGTTTAAAGAAATGAATGAAAATTAATGAGCCAAATTGCAAAAAAATGCACAAAAATGCAGCATTATAAATGCCATAATATATCCCTATAGTATATTCACAAGAGAACGGCAGGAAAAGAATCTGCATGTTTTAGTTTATTGTTTTATGCTTATTACATAAAGCAATACTTTTTTTGCTGTAAAGCATGATTCTAACCCGAGTATAGAACTTAATTGTAAAATGATGCATGTAAATGTGGCCATTGCATTTTTCCGCTCTTGTTTGCTAAATGTCCTGAGTGCAGCTGAAGCCGCCTTCCTCTCATTCATTTCCAGCTGAGTTTAAGTCTAGGCCATTTACATATGTGATGAAAATCATGCAACCGTGTCTCTCAGAGTTACACAACAAGCGAGTCGAGCCCCAAAAAAGAGTCTCAGATCTGTTCAGATGAGCTAAAACATCAGGAAACATCAATGCTGAATTCCTGAAAACAAATAATACAATTCAGATAGAATTATAGTTCATATAACAATAAATACAATATTTGTATTGTTTTATCAACTATTGTTTATTATGTATTATTTATGTAATAGACATTTATAATAGAAATATTTAATAAAATAATTTAATTATTATGTAATATTTGCATTATTATGAATAT